AAACCACTATAGTAAGGCTTACTTAATGGGAAGCCCAGGTGGCCATGTGACCTCCCTCAAGAGTGTGACAGCTGAGAGCGGTACAAAACATATCATTTTCTATTTACTGCTGAAGTACGAATCTATTGTTGTCTGCTTTGCTCCGCGAATTTCCTGCGCACACAAGCCCTAAGTGCCCGCAGCCGTTTTGAGAGATCAAATGAGAGCTCTAGTTCACCAAATTGAAGGCAAGCATCTTCGAGTTGCTGGCACAGCGTGAATACTTGTGTGAAAGTGTACTCCGGCGTCACGATGAGGTTTGGCCGAGGCAGGGGGTGCATCTTTATTCTTTGTGACTGTCTCCGAGCGCTGCTTGTAGGGAGCTGGCTTCTCCCGCGGTTTGCGGGTCTTATTGGGCATTTGAGAGGAGAACAAAGACAATTTTTGACACCGCTATGCACTTTAGATAGTCTAAACTACATTAGTATAGGTGCTGACAGTGACTGATGCTGACCCGAACACGGCCTCATAATGCATAAATCAGCCCGGAGGCTTATGCGTTATGCGTTATGTGTTTTGCATGCATAATGCCCGCGTCCCACAATGGGACCCACCCAAAGGTGATGCATTATGAAAATTATGCATTATGAGGCTATGCATTATGAAAAAGTGTACTGTAGTCAGGTGGTTTTTTCCTGATGTTACCGCGTCCTATGGTGGTAGCATTCTAGTCTTCATCATATCTACGAGGATTTTCTTCGATCTTGACGTCGACGAAGTGGCGGTGGCAGCGCCAATACCTTGGAAACTTCGGGGCCGTTCAAATGCTCGTATTTTCCGGCACCGAATCGAACATGGATACAGGAGAATTGAATGAGGAATGTATTGGCGATGCGCTGGCGGTTATCGTTATCAGGGATTTGCCTGGTATACCACGGTCCGTAGTCATATCAATTCGCACTCTCGGGTCTTCCTCTCTTCGTCGGTCATACACAACGACCTTATGCCAACTCGATGTGCTCCTTTTCTTGTTCGTCTTCAGCGGGGCAATTTCGGCAAGGGTAATTCCGGCCCTCACGAACTGATGTACGTCATACCCGTTATACCAGTCACCCCAATATATCTGGTACTGACGAACACGATATGTTCACGATGGCATAGATGTGCGACGGCTGCTACGTCATGTAGGTTTATTGCATTCAACGAGGCGGTCCCTCCCCAAAACAACAAGCTGAACTTGGCTGACCAGTCCTTGATGCGAGCTAGTATTGACCTTCCCCCCAAGGGTGATATTTTGTTCCACGCCAACTTGATGAATTGCCAATAGCCCTCGCTTCGCAAGGTAGATTTCAGTAGGTAGCAATAAGCTGGCACCGACATTGTTGCGCATGGCGGCATCTCGCTCTATACTGAATTACCAATAGACCTGGCTTGAATTCACAAGGTAGATGTACGGCGGCAATCCGCTGGAATTGCAGATATCATCTGTTCGAAGTGGGATTTTATGTGGACAGGTTCATCCTATATCGCCGTGGTGGCTATATTCAGCACATAAAAGCAAGGAAGGCGTCTTCCTACTGTCCACTTCAGATTGATTTGACCCCATACCAATATCACATCCTCATAAACAATGCGTTTCTCCTTTATTCTCGCTGCTGCTGCTGCTTTGACAGCATCAGTATCTGCCAGTGACGCTGTCAGTCAGAGCACTCAGGGCAGTGAAAGTTGTCCTTGGCTCTGCATTAAGAAAAGCCAGTGTGCAGGCTGCCCTCATGGGGCCTCTTGTGTGAGTACGAGTAGCTTGTGTCTTGTGGATATAACTAACCGACGTCGTAGATCTTTTTTGCATGCTGGTGGTAGTGTGGCAGTGAGTCGTGTCTCTGTTTTCACATCGACGCAGTGTGGTTGATGGGCTATTGGAGGTGCGTCTGGTTGAAGTTGCGTCTTCAATGGCTACAATTGGTCAAGAGAGTGGGGCTATTATTAGACTCAAATTTGCTATACTTAGACGTTCAACTCAAACGTCACTGACATGAACTCATTCCCGAATGCAATTGTTGTCAAAGACTCATCAGTGAATTTATCCGCCCGCGTTTCTCCAACAAAGTGTCTTACCTCGCAGTTCCACGTGCACCTGCCCACTACCCCATCGATTCCACCTGGCCCCCACATGCTATTTTCTTTTCGTCCGGTGTCAAAAGGGTTGTGTCTATGTTTATGCCCTCGCCTGCCCATGGTTCACCGAAAAAGTGTCATGTTTCGGATTTCAACCCACCCACTGGTGTGCCATCGACGAATCACTCGTGATGAGGAATCTCGGTGTTGTCATGCAAGCAGAACGAAATTTTCAACGATGTTCACCAGCTACTCAAATTCGTACTTCGGAGTTGGTTTTTTGGGCTGCGGTGGGGATGGATCTTGCTCAATGGTCGACGTGACAATTGATTCAGAGGACATGGTGCGTTACGGTAAGTCGTGTGTATTTTTTCTGGCCCTGACGCCGTTCATGATTGAATATGAAGTGCACAGATGGCTACTACTTACCTTTCTGCTGCTGGTCCCTTACTGGTAGAAACCTGACCTCGAGGGTGATCCCTGAGCGCTCGAATAGTAGCCCACATTATCAGGTGATTGATCTTCGTGTTCTTGTGATTCCGCATGCGATTAACGTCTCTTTGCCTACCACAATGGAACAAAGGCTTTATTGCCTGTCTGCATTTCACTTCTTCTCGGGCTCATGTTTTCCATCCGTCATTGGAGCACGGAAAACTCGCTTGTCTGTGCTCATTTGGAGTTCAGCTTAACTGTCTCTCGGGCATGTTTTATCGATATGGTTTGCCAGTGTCTTGTTTCGGCAAGAGCCATGAAGAAATGAATTTAATACAATTGTCAACTCCCTTTTCAATGACGGGTGCGTTACTTATCTCGGCTTACTCTCGCTCATTGTCTTCTAGTTTTCTTGACCTACGACAGCTCGGGCGTATTTCGTCACCAATCTATGGGACGCTGGTTCAAGAACAGAACCTTCTTCCCCTTCGCCCTTGGCTAAACGTGTGTGGTTTCTGCTTTGATACTGAACCACTTGCTGGAACTTCGAGCGTGCCATCCAATTTGCCCTCATGGAGTTATGTGATCACGCTGGCAAGGCTCTTCTCTCCGTTCTCTTCACTGGCGAATATATTGGCGCGCTGATTCTGTTCTGTATTCAGTTCAAGTATCATATTCGAAGATACACATCAAGACCTGTCACCCGCCACCCCATTACCCATTCGCGTGGATCGAGCGTGCGCAGACATGATTTCCAAGCGTGTTGAGGGGTAAGTGCCCTTTCACGTCCAATCTGAGACTCAGCCCGGACTCAGCCTTATCCACTAACCTAGTCCATGCACGCAGAAAATTCTCCTTGGAAGAAGCACTGGGTTTGGCTGAAGCCAAGTAACTTGGAGCCTCACCCGACAGATGAGGACGTTGTGGGATATGTCGTCTTATTACATGGGGAAGGTGAGCTTGAGTACCGTAGGGTGATCTCTGATGTCTTGATGACAGGTGACCAGCGTCTTCACCATCTCAAATTGATGCATAGCCAGACTGGTTGCGAGTCTAGTGTCAGGTGAGCATATGCACTGTTTCGCTCGAAACTTTCATTTCATATACATATATGCTCATCCTGACAAGATGAAGACCCCTACGACACAATTTACGCTTCCACCCACAACAGCACCTTCGCTCTCACTGCTCAGCGGATCATCCATTGACCTCACAAGGAACGGCTCACGCACCTGGCTGCCTCCTGGCTTTCCCGAGGCTCCGACACGAGTCCACGATCTGGTTATGATTCACCCCACCTCTAGTCGCCGTTGTGTTCGGCGAAATCTATCAACGACAGGACGTAAATGCATACAGCCCCGTGGTTATGGGATCGTCGATGGTCACCTCCGAGTCGATCTGACGACGGATGCACTCACCCTTAAAACGGCGATTCTCGAAGGTGCATACCTCCATCTGAGCTCAATACTGGCACATCTAGCTAGCTTCCTCACCTTTGAATATCCATGGAACTGTGAAAATAAACGACGGAAATACCTCGTCGATATCTGGTTTGCGACGCGCTTAACTTATACGAATGGATTGTTTGTCAGAAACAATTTGACGCCCGGAGAGACGCCGACGGGTACAAGTAATCATAACAGCAAGGATCGTTCATTTTTGACGAAATGATGTCCTGATATCCGTACAATGTTACAAGTCTCTTATCGAAGATGATATAGTCCTGCGACTCAGCCAGTGTATTCGCAATCACCTTCGATGTTTCTACCTGGCTGTTCAGCATCAATCACACTGCCCACCATAGTGCGAATCGGACAGCATCAAACTAGTTTCGCTCGAGATGATGGGGTTACCAAAAGGTGACATGTTTGCCTGCTGAGCGATTCTTCAAAGGGAAGCAGCAAGATACTATGATAGTTTACCCGGTTAGTCGAAATATCGAGACCAACAGGATTAAACTCACTAGAATCGGATCCGGTGTGCGCAGCTTGCGCTAGTCCTCTATAAATTCAACATAGACATTGGCCATGCCAGAGGCGTTCGTACTTCCGGTGCCAACCGCCATAAAGAGACTTGTTTGCAGTTGGTTAGAAAACAAGCGGATCAGGCCCTCAAGAGCTGTGATCCAACTCAATTTAAATCCTTGAAGAGGAATAACCACATCAGTGGCAATGATACTAGTGAGTGTTGTGTTGAGTCATAATGGTTTGAGAAACTGCGGTCAAGTAAATGAAACATTCAGCGAGATATGGATATGATACGCACGCTGATGTACGCAGGCGCCTATTTGTTACCCTCATCGAGAGGCGCCTATGTGAAGGCAAGGGAAATCCATCTGGCGTGCTCTCATGGAAGCAATGAAAACGCTCGCATCTCCGCGCGTGCTGGAATGGCGAATATAGCTTTCACGAGTTTCTAGAATGATATTTTCATATAAAACAATGAAGCAATATACCGCCTTGATACCATCGTGGTGATTGCTTCAACAGTGACGCCTACAGGTGTCACAATATCTTTAGAACCTAGGAGATCAGATATTTTATCCGCCTTGAATGAGCATATATGTTTAGAACGAGGTGGCACACTCACTGTCATCTGTGAGGTACACCAGAATATCACTACAATAGCGAATGTGCAAAGAGAAGTGTATAGTTGACAGATGCAAAGCTGAAGCACCGCGCATCAAAGAGTGATAGCTTGCAGTCGAGCCGTTGAAAGTTGCCATATATGCTGACCGTAGGGACATGTCAGCTGTGACGCTAGGCGTGAACTTGGAACAGACACACCATACGCACGGTATCACTGGTACTCGCCCGTTACTCGATGATTCTCATCATTCTCAACACCAACTTCATCAAACATCGAACTTGGGCTCCACCCTGCACCAGCATCCCCTCCTGTACACGCATTCCTCGTGCAAAGCGAAGACGAGCTCGCAGCCTCTGAACTGTGAAAACGTCACACGAAGGACCATGGTCCCGCAAAGAAGCATACTGGTTGATACATGAATAGTCAGAATCTCTATCTTTAATCATAACGGTCGAGAGACGTCTCACGATCGCGATCCAACCAGCTCATCACCGACTCCAAAGTAGTGCCTTCGCGGTCATACAGACTTAGCACTGAAGTTGCGCCTGCTCTGTCCTGCTTGAATCGATTGACATTAACATTAACGCCAACAGAGCCTGCCCTCTCACGTTCGAACCTTGCACCAGACCCAGACCCCTCTCTCATTCCCCATCGAGCAGCCCAGCAGCAAAGGTTTCGGAAGTCCTTGGACCGAGCCATTTCATGGTTGGAGGTCCTGGTGTAAGTGTGCTACGGGTGAGTGGGGAGGACACAAGCCTGCTTTCTCCGGGAGAGGTTGACTCTTCTTGTTTTACCCCCAACGCCAAGCCCGGACATCTCCGTCCCATTGAGACGATTCCTGGTCTCTCAACATGAGGCAGACAAGGATGAAGACTCGCCGATACTTAAGCTTCTCTTCTGGCTGAAAAAAGGTGTGGGTGATGACGACAACAGAGGTGAGTTGGGTCATGGGGGCTAGATTTTGATAGCCTTGCGAAAGAAATGCTCCAAACCAGGCTCCTACATAGGCAGGGTTGAAGTCGAGGTGTCGATGCGGGTTTGGAAGTCAATGAGAATAGATAAGTAGGAAATGCCCCATAGCCTGTAGAGTTTGCTTCCGCTGCTAAGTCACTTGTTCACACGCTTCGAAGCCGACTCATTGGCAAGCACGTCTCTACTCACCACTACAATGTTGATGCGATTCAATCTTGGTATATCGCAGAGCTGAGGACAAGGCTACCTGCAATATGTTTGGAAATTGCACACCTACCCCATCTACGAATTCCTACTGTGTAACTCTGTGTTCCTCAGGAGACGTGAAGTCAGGCACGATATTGGGTTTACGGCCCAGCTGGTCCCTGGATGAGTAAGTAATGGCATCTTCTGACCTGATCATATATACGGGCGTCTTGCGCAGGATGACACCGACAAACTTATACGTTGGTCTTTTACTTCGTCACTCCTTCTCGCCATCGCCACCATGTCGTCGTCTGCACCAGCATCGACAAACTGAGCGGCGAAATCAGTTGCACAAACAACAGCAGCCCCTACTTCTACTCTACCTGGTACTACTTCTCCTATCTTCTCCTACTAGTCAGCCACCCTCTATTTCAACACCAAGTATTTTTCCCCCTCTCCTTCTCTTCTTCCGAATCAACATCCAGTACTTACTGACTGTTCATCGGTTTCTACCGTTCCACAATAACACCACCAACAACACCCACAACACCCACTACGACACCCACATCTTCTATGTCATCTTCCTCGTCCAGCAACGTACAAACGACTTCCTTTACTATGATTACAACACCAACTACAACCTTTATGACCTCCGTGTCAACAACGGTACCTACAACGATAACGTTGGTAGTCTTTTATTTGTTTTTATACCCTAGCTCACCAGATCTATCAGGTCAATAGATCCATACGGATCAACAATCACAATCACCACCGAGATCTCCACGACAACTTCTATCCCTGTCCCAACTCCCACTTGCATACATGACTCAACCAGCAGTGTTATTGTCCTAATCGGCGTCTTATTGCTCTATTGCTTCTACCCATGCAGTGACAGACGTCGAGACAAGTTAGAGAGAAACTTGGACCCCTCTGATGTTGTATCCCATCCCTCAGGGGGCGGAGCCCCACCCCAAGTCGACCTCGGCGACGAAATAGAGGTTACTCCCTACCCTGACCGTGACGGAAGCATGCCCCAGTACAGAGAAAGCCCCTTCTTCGCTGCTGGCGCGAGTGCCACTGCAGCAGGAGCAGGTATTCACCGCACAACGCCACCACTCAGCTCTCCTTCTCAGCACTCCGACGCCGCCACCTCTCCCGGCGAGGGGTACCCCTCTCAAGGCTTCGTACGCTCAGGCCTGGGCCAGTACCTCCAAGGCGGGCCGAACACGTACGCACTGCTGCAGCAAACAGACTTGGACAACCCACGACCGCTCACACGCCCCGCCCCAAGCGTCAGCAACACCTCAAGCGGTCGTGAGATGAACGACCAAGAAGCTGCTGCTGGGCGTCAGGGGCTCGCGCTCACTACGCAGCAAGAAGTTGATGGGGAAGGGTCAGGTGTTGAACACCACGATGCGGGTCAGGCGCAAAACGACGAAGGAGGTGAAGAGCCGCGAGATGTACCGCCTGCGTATGAGTCTATTAGGCCGTAGACTTGCGCATGCTCAAAAACGCACGAGCATGACCCGTGAATCTGAATCTGCGATGCCACCCCCTACCACGTTTCATGTGTACGCCACGATGGACACACTACTTTTGGACGTTCATACATATGTAAAGTACATCATCATGATCTTTAGACCATTCATTCACTTGTTTCATTATTTTGACGGGTGTTGTCGGTGTCGTTGGTATTCTGTTGAGGCGTGGCGGCTGAGTACTCGGTCAATTTTTCTGTAGTATTACCAGCATACGTATTCGTATTTCATGCACACATTGTCATATGATTTTTCTTTCACTCGTTTTACTCTACATCAATGCAAATTGCGTATATGATATTGACATTGTTGGTAATGTATTCCAAGTATTCCCTGGACGTCACTATATAGATTGGGTGTGACAGTTGTAATTCAATTGGACTTGGAAAGGTCAGGAATTGAACTGTGCTTGAGGGATTCACTTTGGGATGCGAATAATGGGGGTGTGCTCCCCAACACATACAGTATACAGTGGTAGTACGAGGTAAGAGACATGGCTTAAACGATACAGTGAAACTGTGAACCACTTAGCACTTTGAAGGAAGGAGATAATCAGACGAAGGACAGACTTGTTGGCGAAAGCAGGATCATTCTTGTCGACATGAATCACTGCTGCGAAGAACTTGTGACCGACAGTGGGGGAAAAGGCCTTGGGCTGGGGCTGGGAGGTGAAGGATGTACATCGGGAGATCGACTGCGTGGCGTTAGTGACATAGTGACCAAGAAGGGGAGATGACTTACATTTGGTATATCAGTGGCGCCGTCACTTATATTTGTGAAGTGCTGGAGGGAAATGTGTAAGTTATTGTGATGTCAGACAGAGCAAGGATATACAGCCTACATGAAGGAATGCGTGCACGAAATTGTGATGTTTGCGTCGGGATGTGTTGTTCAAGGACGATCTACCTGAAGTTGCTGGGCGGAGGTTCCACAGGGTTTATATGCTCCTTATTGACGATGAACATTGTGGGTCGGCCATGACACTGTAGGGCGATGAGAAACTCATGGACATACCCGTGCTGGGCATGTCGGTAGCCAAAGTTGAGCTGGATCGCGTCGGATCTCTGCCATGTCGAGCGATCCTAGAATGTACTGTTTGAAGAAGTCCGTCTCCATCTTTCTGACACGCGAGCTTGGCGCCAAATTTTTGGTGCAGGGTGTGTTTTCAGATACGTACACATTAAAGAGTTAACATTGGGAATGTTTAAAGTGTAGGGGTGACATACTTGGGCGACCGAATCACCACAAATTCAACGGTGTACTGCCCAGCCATCTTGCGAAACTTGTTCAGCTTCTCAAATTCCAGACTTGTTGCTGCTCACGGACGAGGTACTATCTAGGTCCTATATTACAAGAACAAGACCACCAGAGGGTCCGAACATGTGAGCAGGCGGGGGTGTTAGAGGTAGTACAACATGGTGTTGCTAGAGTGGTGTGATGGCAACTGTGCGGGAGGGTCGCTGAGTACGGGTTCTCGTCGTACTGGCAGATGCCGAGATCGATTTGGACAAGCGTGTCGCCCCCAGATATTGTGGATCGGAATCAATATTCATGGCAAACTCATCTGGACTTCACCTACGCCGTATGCAGAAAATGAAGCGTCTGAGGAGGGCGCTAAACTCGGCCCAAAGTCGGGACTTGCATCAAGTCACATGTGGATACCTGGTTGGCGATATGTTACCATACACCTGGATTTCCTGAATGTCTGAAGTTAAGACTCGGAAAAGACAGTCACTCAGTGTGCCGTTAGTAGTAGTTACGGTAAGGGGGTCACGTGCCACAGTTGAACTTCTCAACCCCCTATTTTTTCTCTTGCATTCGCTGATCAGCTTGTCTGCCTGCAATGGTCTGCATGGATCTATTGGAGGAGTGATTTGAAATGTGCTTCGCAAACCAATCGCAGACGTACTTTGATTTTACGTACACAATCACTCTTCCACATTTCTTTTCATTCTCCGTTTTAACGTGTTCGTTTCCCTTCGAAGTCAAAGTGTTTACGAGGGTGTTTACGAGTATACTATACAACTCCTAATACTCCGCGTAGTTTCTTTCTCTGTTCTAGGTATGCACATATGCAACTGTCATACCTTCAATCGAAGACTGATCAAGTTTTCACCTTTCTAGTCCGAGCCTCTTATCATTTGAGACGCAGTCTATAGCTAGAGCGCACCTTTACCACGCACCACTAGGACGCTCGAGGTAAGGCACCGAATATTTTACATATATTCGGGGATTGAACATATTCGGACCATTGACAGATTGAATCGACGTTGTACTAATCTCCGAGGTGAGTAGGATTATATCGTACTCGAGATTCCAATGTCTCACAGATAATCTGTAGTCGGACAGGGACCTTTTCAACATTTTTTCGTCGTGTAGACATTGCATCGGAGGGGCTTGACATCCACGCAGGTGAGTAGTATGTTACATTATTTTGTTGCCCAAATTCATCGTGATTTGCGGCTGGTAGTGACCTGTCATGGATGAGCTTACAAGCTCGTGTCTAAACTATTTCGACGAATATGTGATGAATGAAATCCCAATCCGCCTTATCCGCCTGTCAGACATGAAGTTTGTCGGCCGTATTGATGTGAAGAAGCTTTTCCGGAGCTCTGTGTATTCAAGTCTGGAATATAGTCCCTCCAACCATATCCGGTACGCTATGCTGTCTCACCGATGGCTGGATGAGGGAGAACCCACATATGAAGAGATGAAGACAGGTACAGCGGCGGGCCCAGGGTACGAGAAGCTGCAGGCATTCTGTCAAGAGGCAGAGGAGTACGGCGTGGAATTTGCGTGGTCAGATACCTGTTGCATTGACAATAGCAGCAGTACCGAGCTCGACGAGTCAATTCGGTCCATGTTTCGGTGGTACAAAACTCGGCTATTTGTATCGTCCACCTGGCGCAAAGCGAGACCATCGATAATATAACTCAGGACGAATGGACTGAAAGGGGATGGACACTGCAAGAACTCCTTGCGCCTCGTAATATCAAGTTCTTCAACGCGCGTTGGATGCCCATGACGGATGATGCAAATGACAAGGAACCCGACGAGTCACCCTACTTACTAAGGGCTCTGGAGGAAGCCACTGGCATCCCTCATGATGTCCTCACGTCGGACCTTATACCAAGTCTTGTGAGGGTAGATGAACGGATGGCGTGGGCAGCCGGACGCCAAACAACAAGGGTTGAAGACGCGGCCTATTCCCTAATGGGCATTTTTAACGTGAGCCTGCGGATTGCATATGGTGAAGGAAGAATGCGCGCATTCTGCAGGCTCATTGAAGCCATCACGCGCGTTGGTGACCCCTCTGTCCTCAACTGGACCCCCTCCGTCTCCGACAATCTAGACCACATGTCCATGGAGCACTACAGTGGCTCTCGTGCTATTCCTGCATGTCCAGCGAATTTCAAGGACTGTCGAAGTCGACAGTTCGATTTCGATCGGCCTCTGGAAATGACCATGACCAGCCTCGGCTTGCGAATGCCTGTAGTAATCCTCCCTCTCATCCTCCATTCGATTTCAAAAGTGACTTTCCAAACCCAACTCACGCTTAGGTGTCCGTTCTGTCCAACCATTGAATTTACAATTATCGATTCCTCTAACCCCAGAGGGTGTCAATATGCATTCGGGATAGTCAACTATTCAATTATTGGCGGTGGGATACGCGAGGTCCTAGGGATCCGAGGCAGGTCCGCTGGTGTGGTCCTATTCCGACGGCCCGAATCCTTACCCAGATATCAACCTCCCAACGATATCATTGGGCTAAACTTCGCCTCCCCCCCCCAAACCAACACTCTCTGATTGGAAATTAGTAAACCATTATCACGACGGTGGGCGATTGACCGTGGTCGACTTCCCGAACAGACCGAGTGACTCCCATTTCTACATTGGTCGTGAATACCTACAAACTGTCTACCTATAGCTTTGGCTTCGCTTACTCACAAACTATACTTACATCTACTGGTGCCAGTTTCTTCTTGAGACACCCCTTCCCACATGTTAGTATGATCCCTGATACGGGTTCTCCTATTGACTCTGCCCCACGTCATGCTACCCCAATAGAATCCACCTTGACCGGCTCCCCACAAGCCCTGCAGTCTGCGCTCACATCCACATTCGACTGCTTCTTCAACAGTGGATGGAGACGTACCCACAAACGATACCATCCTTTGGGGCTGTCTGTCGCGATGAACTCGCTCTCGCTGCCGCCTAGCTTGACCGCTCGTATTTTGCGATAGCGACGACGTGATCAAATGTGTCACGGGGTTTTGACTAACCAGATCATGCTAATGATCGTGATTGCCTTTCACATGGTGCCTATCCGCATCACAATCAACAAAAAGGACAGGTTCGTGTCGATGTAATGCATTATTTACTGTAATTGTAACGCACCAGTGATGCATTTTCCTTGCAGTTGTAGCGCTCTTTCCTCCCCTACAGTAGTGAGTACTGCTAATGCATCACTCTCCCCTACAATACTGGGTCCTGGTGCATCCCTGATGCATCAGCCTGACTCGAGCAGATGCATCCCTTTCACTGATGCATCCGCTCGAGTCTGGCTGATGCATCCCGTCTGATGCATCGTCCCTCCCGCCCTTCGTGCGTTGCTGCCCTGATGCATCCCGTCTGATGCATCATCCCTCCCGCCCTTTGTGCGTTGCTGATTCATCCCCTCCCGCCCCTCGTGCATCCCGCCCTCCCGTCTGATGCATTGTGATGCATAATTCTTCCCCTCCCGCCCTTTGTGCGTTGCTTATTCATTTCCTCCCGCCCTCGTGCATCCCGCCCTCCAATATAATCTGGCGCATTGCTGATTCGTCCCCTCCCGGCGCCCTGATGCCATGGCACGTTATGATCATAGTGCATGTATTAATCAATCTACGTCTATCGAGGCCATTAATCAATCTACGTCTACCAAGGCCAGTGTCTCCGCCCAGCGTGCCTCAAACGATGACGCTAGATGTCGGCGCAAGTCAGCCTGCCGTTTCGCATACGCCACACAGCCATCCTCGTGTTCTGCATTGGTTAGTGTAGCGTCGTCTTGCCTTCCATCCCAGCGTGCTGCTTCCCACCTTAGAAAAGCTAATATACGCCGCATTTCTTCCTGCAGGAGTTGTACTTCTTCCCCCCAGCGCATTGCGCGTGCCCTTGCCTTACACCACTCTATCCTCATATCTGTTGCACCATGAGTAAGAGAATCATTTTGTAGTATCGCGCTTACCTTCTAGAGCACCGTTATCGTCCTTCTCACTTCCCGCAGCGCCACGCATATTCCATATCCACGACAATTTTCGTCTGCCCTCCGATTCACCCCAGAGCAGGTCAGACATAGAACGAATATCCTGACGATTTAAAGGACGCAGTGATGACTGCCAGCCAGACTCGTTCAGGAGTCCGCCCAGGATCACCAGGGCCTTGTGTGCGCCTTCGTATTTGCTGGCGGCAGCATCGATTCTCGCGTCGATCGTCTTAAGCGTGCTACGTGCTCGAGTATTGGCTCCTTGCCCTCGAAGGTTGCGGTCCTTGTACCTGAGTACGGCAGTCTGTGCACGAAGGTTGGAGCGTAAGGAGCGGAGGGCATCATGGCCTTGTGCGTATCTCAATCTCCATTCTGTCCTCTGGAGTCGTTCGTCACAAGGCGCCAGCCTGCCGATCTGTGATGGCAACCGCAGATTGAATGTTTCTGCAGCAGGGACGGACGTGGCGTTGGCAGAGGTTGATTTGTCCAAGAGACGCATATAGTACAACCGCAGCTCGGCTACGGCCCGCTCCGGCTTGGCGTTCATCGGTTTGCAAGTATTTTGGCTATCCTAGTGAGCCAAGCTACTTATATATAGTTTGGTCTGGTTCATTAGCCGTTTGGAGTCCCACGAACCAACTGTGAGCCAAAAATAATCAACAGCGGCTCGAGCTGGCTTGAGGCCAGCTCAAGCTGATTTATAAATACGAAATCACGTCTTTGTCGAAGTCTCATACCCAGTTAGTTCGACTGTTGCTCCTCGAGGCCTCAAGGCTCAAGTTATCTCATAGTATACCCACCATGAACCATAAGGTCCCGATACGAGTTGACGGTAGATTCAGACTCGGAGATGTTTTGGGATCTGGTTCATACGGTGTGTTGTTCACAAGCTGACTATAATTATAAAAATTAACATACTATGGACCCTACTTAGCTGTTGTGTACCACGCTCGGAATATCATCAAAGATGATGCAGTTGCCGTAAAACTCGAATCCATCACAGCCCAGCCATCTTCTGTACAACGCGAATACGCCATTCTGAAACGACTTGAAGGTGGAGTTGGGATACCCCGCGCTCTCTGGTTCGGTCGAGAATCAACATATCATGCTTTGGTTCTCGGCCTCCTTGGGCCATCACTGCATGATCTTTTCCTCGCACATGATCGAAAATTTAGCCTTCATACTGTTGTCAATCTAGGAATCCAACTGGTCAGTCGGTTCGTGCTGGGTTGTTGCAGATAGGCTAACCCGTTTTCCAGCTCTCACGTCTTGAGTACATCCACTCAAACAATTATGTTCACTGCGATATCAAACCGCAGAATGTCTTGATGGGCCTTGGACATTTGAAGCACACTGCATTTATAATCGATTTCGGTATCACGAAGGAATACTGGGACACCGCAACCAGAGTCCATATTCCCTTTCGTCAGAATCAACGTCTCACCGGCACTCCTGCCTTCGCTTCAATCAACAACCACTTAGGAGTTGACCTGGGTCGTCGTGACGACCTTGAATCGCTTACATACATGTTGATCTATCTGTTACGCGGCTCCCTTCCATGGTTAATCAGTGACCACGAGAAACTCTCCAGCTCTTCCATACTCGAGCGCAAGGTCAACACCACCATTGAAGTCTTATGCAGTGGAATTCCCGTCGAATTTGCAAGTGTTCTCATCTACACGCGCTCTCTTGCGTTCTCGGAAGACCCCGACTATGAGCATCTTCGTTCATTGCTTTGTGGTCTTCAAGACACCTTGGCTGCGCCATCTACATGCTCGCTGGATTTCAGCATGCCTGATAATCACACCACACATCACCCTCCAATCTCCAATGAACGCTGGATGGTCGAGGCGGCCCCATGTCTGCCGGATGCAACACCACTTTGCAGATCTACTCGTGTGTGAGTATTCTGTCTCATTTTCTCATTCACAATCTGAAGCTAATGTAATTTCGAAGTTTACACCAACGTAATGCCTCTCCCATGCACCCAACTGCACTGCGGAAAAAACCATTAGTTGCTAGATCACGCTGTTGAATATGTCTTTCTATTTCTACATAACTGTACAGTGTACAAGTCTACAATGTGTTTCTCATAGGTTTCAAATCTTGATTCTTGAATCCTACTGCGGCTAGGCCTGATTCCTGACCCCCGAGGGCCGACTCCACGCTGAGTCACGCAGCTTCTTATCTTTTTCTCACCCTACCATCTCCTTGCCCATCGTCCTTGCAACTTGCAAGTGCTGTTTTTCTGCAAATCGGTCGGCCTGCTACAGAAACAAACTTGTCCTGGATACCTGTACCTTACTCCTGAAGCCTGAGTCCCAACATCCACCAGCCTCGCCTTATTGAATCATATCACCATCATGACCAACCTTCTGGATGACGCAGGGGGGATTTTCCACTAACACCCCAATGCCTTTCCACATCGCAATTAAATGCACAATCAATCAGCCATCGACTCCTGGAATGAAGGTAAGCATTAACTTGCTCGACCTTGACCCAGTGGTTGATATTTGAAACACGTGTTCAGTGATCGTCAAACCACGCACCCTGGGTCCCTGACAACCATCGCAAACCATTTGCAAACATGAGATGTCCCTTTCGCTGGATGCCCTTTCTATATCTATATTGCAATCTGGCTTCTGGACAGCCGATTGACTCTGAGGATGTAGGTAAGCCTTACTGTGCTCGATATAACCAACTGATTGCAAGATCTAGGGTACATCTGAATGCACATCTTATGGTATCAGTATCCCTCTCATTGGGCAAGGTAGTGGGCATTGGGGAAACCCCACACATATATTGTGCTGCCCAGGACCACTCGAATGAACAAGATCTTCCAGTACGTACGCTGGCCATACGTTCAGTTGTCCCCTGGTGTCATCACAATTAATAATGTTGTCCAGACCTTCCCTTGTGCGTACACGTTGGACTTGTCATTGGTTGACTCGGCACTGGCATTTCCCCGCTGTTTCCCTTGACGAAGATACATAAAGACTGTGTCTTTGAATCTTTACTCTCACTCAAACATGCCTCCTCGTCGACGAGGGCAGAAGTCTCGAGTTACCAATGTGCCTACTCATACTGCCGCTGCTCCCATTGACGCTACCCCCATCGTTACCCCCATCGCTGCCACTATCGTGCCCATCGCTGCCAATGTTGCGCCCCCCATCGCTGCCAATGTTACGCCCCCCATCGCTGCCAATGTTGCGCCCATCGCTGCCGCTGTTGCGTTGAACGTAACTATGCTTCAACACCCCCAAAGGCAACGTCAACTGCCTTCGAGGTTCCGCAATAATAGCCCAGTTCGTGCTGGCACTGGTCGCACGCCAGATGATGGAGAATACATTGACATCCCCAATGTCTCTGGGGATGAAGAAGATGACTTGCCTGCACCCAACGTCAGGGCTCCTCCAGTTCCCAGCCCTCTGCAGACACTTACCAGTACTATCTACTCCACCCAAGTCGATCCCTTGGCTACGGGTGTCCGAGGAGCGCAGCCAAAAACCAGTGCTGATGTCAATTTCTTCTTTAGGGAAGATCCATTGACAGCTACTAAACACAGGATCTGCCGAATCTGCGAGTGAGTTTTGCGTCTGCAATTATTTCGTTCTTTCTAACGGCCTTGTCCAGGGGTTTGCGGGTGGAGGACCCTTCACACCTGGTTATGTCGTATAAGCACTCAACCGGCACTTCTGCCCGTCGTACTCACGCTTTCTACCACCACTCTGACGTTTTCCTGCAAGAGGCGGAGCGCCTACGCTGGCCTATCTTCATACAACCACTCAATGACCGACTCGCTGAAGGATGGACTTTGGCAGCTATCCGTGAGAGGCTCCGGGACCCTGCGTATCACATTGAGTCGCTCGGTACCATCCCTAATCAGGGACACGGCAATTTTCCACCTGGAACCACCTTATCTCCAGACGATTTTATCCCCGATTTCAGCATTGACGAGATGCACCGTCAATTGGTGAAATTCATCGTTGCGGATGATCAAGCAAGTTGATATTTACTTTCTACGTGCCCTTGCTAATTCAATTTCTGCAGGCGATGAACATTATAGAATGTCTAGAATTTCGACGCCTGATACGTTTTTTGCGGGAGGATTTGACCGATTCAGACATTCTCCACCGCACAAAACTTCGTGAGCTCATAATTGTAGCGTGGCAAGAATATTTCCAGGTGTTGAAAGGTGATCTTGCCGTGAGTGTCTAGTTATCGAGAATCCCGCCATACGTCTTATGTATTCTTACAGAGGCGCAAGGAAAAATATCCTTTACATCTGACCTCTGGTCTGATCAGAAGCTCCGCCCCTTCTTGGCTCTCACGGCTCATTGGATTGCCAAGGAAGAGCAGACGTCGGTGCTCGTCCTGAAGGCAGCATTAATCGCATTTCATCACGTTCCAGGAAGTCATACCGGCAAATCTCTCGGTTTCAGTAATACTGAATCTCCTCGATCGCGCTGACGTTGCAAAGGATGTGAGTGTTCAGCTGTACCGTATGATGTGCTCTGACTTCGTTTAGCCTGGACACTTTACTTTGGACAACGCGGCGAATAATCAAACATGCATGAAGGAACTTTCAAACCTACTCGAAGAACGCGAGATCACATATGATCCAATCGAAAACCGAATTCCTTGCTTTCCGCACGTGATCAACATATGTGTAAAACATATTGTTGACGACTATGCGACAGCGGATTTCTCATCCGTGGAGAATACCTGGAATGTGTGTGGTCAAATCGTCGTCAAGAATGAGTATGTCGGCGCCATCACCGGTAAAGCTCTCGAACGGGCCAGAAATCTTGTTCGCTCCATCCGTGCATCAAACCAACGACGTTCGAATTTTAGGGATACCATCGTGATAGGTAATGAAAAGGATTGGTTCCGGGGAGATACAGGCGAGCCTATAAAGCTCCCTACAGTCGAGCTTTTGCTCGATGAGCCAACCCGCTGGGATTCAGTTTATGTCATGCTCAATCGTCTACGCAATCTACGTCAGGTGAGGTCTCATCTCACTGAATATTTGTCGTGGGCTAACCATTGCTCAGGCGGTTGATATGTTCTTCGAGTCTCCCAACCAACGTTCTATATACGACAAAAAGTTGAGCCCAATAGAATGGCATTTCCTACAGGACTTCGAAGTCATTCTGGAGGTCAGTATCGACATCTTCGTAACCTATGTTGTATTTAACCTTGTAATTTCAGCCCCCCCACAGAGCTCAGCAATCCATGTCGAGCGAGAGCACTCCCATGTTGGGTCGTGCGGTTCCAGCGTTTGAAAGGTTACTTGAGGATTGGAAGCAGGTGGCCAATAGCGCCCCGCACTGTGCACCGCTCATCAACATTGGTTTGACTTGGGCGGAGAAGTATGACGACAGGATGTCCTGCACAAATGCATATGCCGTTGCGATGTGTGAGTCCCTCACATTTTTATAAAATTTGATGTCTTATGATCGGTTTATAGTTGTCGATCCAACCTGCCGAATGTCATGGGCTACGGATCATTGGGATGAGGACCGGGTAAAGTCAGCAAAGGAATTCATTTTCAAACTAGTACGTCTATCTATCTAGCAACAGCATGCGCTCATATGTCCTTTAGATGCATATCAAAGAGCACAGCGGACCTCCAATACACCGGCTCCAATCCAACCACCCCCAAAACTACAATCACGCACGCTAGGCTCCCGTGTCTACGGACTTCGTGAGGGGGATGCACCGCCAGTTGGTGACGAT